CTTTTTTTTTTTTTTTTTTTTTTTTTTTGATGCCTATGATTTAATCCTTTCAACAGTAACGCAGAAGAAGATTTTTGTAGGAGTGGATCTAGAAGCTGAGGGTGGGATTTAGGGCACAAGGCCTGGCATGTTGGCAGGTTGGTAGAGATGGTGGGCTTTGCTTATTGTGGCTAGTGCTGTCTTCAAATCTCTGTAAACCCAGATGGGATATTTGAACAAAAGTTGAGACAGACAGAAGGCAAGGGAGTGATGAGGTACAAAAACACTGAGAGGGGAGACAGAGTGTACGCCTGTCCATAACAGTATGGGGCAGTGGGGTTATAAGCAATTTAAAATATTTTCTTGTTTTTGCTTATCTGTATTTTCTAAACACTCTTCAAAATGTCTTATTGTATTTAAAAAATAAATTTTTGCCAATGTCTCTGCCAACCTCCAAACATGTACTAAAAATTAAAAAATAAATCAAATTAAATTAGAACCGAGTCAATAAAGAGAAAAAATAAATTATTATTTCAAGACTATTGTTTTGTGAACTTTCCAGAAGGCCTAAATAACCACACTGAATTGAAATAAAACAAAACAAAGAAAATCCCAAGTAACAAATTACATTCTTTTCCTCAAAAAATGAAAAATAGAACTACTGTGTAATCAATCCATCAATCCTATTAAGGTTATATAAACCAAAAGAAATGAAATCAGTGTAAAGTGAAAAGAGCTGAAAACCAGGACCAGACCAGGACTATAACAAGCCTTTATTATGGGGAAGATCTGTCAGGCTGTCTCTAAACAAAGGAGAGAAAGCAACATGGCAGAACAGGGAGCTTCTTTTATGGGAGTGGGGTGGAGATAGCCTGAGCTGGCATGGAGTTGAGTGAAGCAGTATTAAGGGATTGGGGGAGCCTGTGACATCATTAGGAGGAAGCTGTAACATCACTAGGAGGGGCTTGTGACATCACTAGTTGCTAGGAGGTAGCAAGTATCATGTTACCTTTCTTGGCAAGAAGAGAGGCATTTTGGGAAGAAGAAGACTGTCCTTTAGTGGAAGCCATATTTTAACATGGTATTATGGGAAGGAGGCTGCTATTCTATGTGGCAGCCATTTTAAGGTTCAGAGCATCATGGGAAGGAGGAGGCTGCTATTGTATGTAGCAGCCATCTTAAGGCAAGGGAATCTAGCAATCAGTATGTTAAAGAGACATCTGCACTCACGTGTTCATTGTAAAATTATTCGCAATAGTCAAGACAAACAACTTGGTGCCTATCAACAAATAGATGAATAAAGAAAATGTATATATGCACAATGGATATTAGTAAGTCATAAAAAAGAAGAAATTTTGCCATTTTTCACAACACTAAAGAACCTAGAGGACATTTTGCTAAGTAAATAAGTCAGGCACAGAAGTGTATATATACTGTGCAATCGCTCTATGTGTGGAATCTAAAATTTCAAGTTTATAGAAGCAGAGAGTCATCTCAGGTTAAGGGGCTGGTGGTGGCAGGGTGGGGAAAGGGGTGACTGGTCACATAGTACAAAGTTTCTGTTAGGAAGAATACGTTTTAGTGATTTATTCAGAGTGACAATAGCTTATAATTTTGAATTATATTTTTCAAAATTGCTAAGAGTAGATTTTAAATGGTCTCCCCACAAGGAAACATTAAATATATGAAAGAAAAGTGTTATGCTTTGTTTCTGGATATTCCTCCAAAGCCTCATGCAGTCACAGGTGGGGCTTTTTCAGTGGTGGTTGGATATAGATTATGTGATGCTAGGATTAATTCATGGTGCAATGTTAGGGCCAAAGGCACTAGGATTGAGGGTGTGAGTGCTACCTGCCCTAAGTAGCCTGGATAAGACATAAAGGATATAAGGAACTCTGGTTGTCTCTTACTTGCTATCTTTTGTTACCTTCTGCCCACCATGAACTGTTTCTCCTTTTCAATGCCTATCTTCCATGCCACACTGCCTTGGAGCCAGCTGATGAGGGACTGCAGCCTCTACAAACTGTAAGCCAAATAAACCTTTCTTCTTTAACTTGTGGGTGTCAGGTATTTTGTCTCAGCAATGAGAGAAAAGTAACTAAGACAGAGAGGTAGCTTGATTTAATCATCCCACCATGTATCTGTATATCATAATATCACATTGTCTCCCATAAATGTGTAAAATTATGTTCTTAGTTAAAAATAAAATACAAACCAAATATCTTGTAAAAATTACATTCTCACCAGCTAATCATTTTATTTTTTTCAGGCTTGAAGGTCATTATTCAAGAGATAAAGAAGTAAGTATACGGGTTGAAGGGAGGAGAGGGAATGACAAAAAAGGAGGAATTAAGATGTATTACGTATAGGTACAAATTCCTATTATATCCCTATAATGAATGTGATCATTACATATGGCAAACATGTACTAATAAAAGAGAGAAGTAGGTAATCCCAGAATATCTTAAAAAGGGGGGATGACCTTTACATGAGGACCAAAGTAGGATGTGGGAAGAGTGTGGCTGCTGCCTAGTAGCCAGGTGCAGAACACCCTCTGGTCTGTTTATCTATAGAATCTTGGTGTGCTCAACTTGGGCCATCAACATCCCAGCTAGCGACGTCTTGGACTGATCATACCCTCTGATTTATAATTATACAGCATTAAGATGTGCTTTGGAAACTATCATCAGTTACCATGCTCACAAGTGTGATTAATTACACCAATTTGTATTCTGTGGAAGTGTAGCCTTTTCCAGTTTTGGGGGAGTGATTTTCAGCTCAGCCAACTCATGAACCGCTTAACACTGAATTACCCACAGTAATGCTCCCAAAGTGGGCAGCTTAGAATTTGGAAATCTGATGGGAGATCTCTTTGGCATGTGCCATCATACCTGGTTGTACCCGTTCTTTGTGAGATGATTACGATGCTGTAGTGCCTATGAGAGATGAAGTGAAATGAATGACGAGTATTGTGATGTAGTGCTAGGCTATGCTACATGAAGCTCACTTGAACAGAAGTACAGCAGTACTGTGACAGTTGATCTGATAACCAGGACAGCTATTAAGTGAATAATGGGCAGGTAGCATATACAGTGTGGAAACACCGGGCAAAAAGACGACTCATGTCCCAAGAAAGATGGAGTACAATGGTGCACAATTTCATCACGCTATACAGAAGAGTGTGCAATTTAAAACTGATGAGTTGTTTATTTTTGGAATTTTCCATTTAAAAGTTTTGGACTATGGTTGTTGACCATGGATAATTGAAATCTTGAAAAGTATAACCACATCTTGGGGGCGGATATTCTCCCTTTCTCGCTCTGTTTTTCTGGAAAACCCTGTCAATCATAATTGCTTAAACCAATTTTATATTTTTATTTTAGCTTTGTATGGTGATTTGTAAACTATACAGAAAGAAATAAAATAGTATTTTGAACTCCTATGTTCCTTGCACTTGTCTTCAACAATAACTAACTCATGACCTCTCTTGCTACATATTCCTACCCTTTTAAGTACCTCTTGGATTATTTTGAAGCCAATCCCAGACTTCATGTCATTTCATCTACACACATTTTAGGGGCTGGGGATTTAGCTCAGTGGTTCTGCTGCCTGCCTCGCAAGCATAAGGACCTGAGTTCAATCCCCGGTATCAAAAAAAAAAGATTGGAGGACTCATCTACACACATTTTAGCATGTAGCTCTAGAAGAATCATTATTCTTCAAAAGATAACCTCAAGATCATTAACACACTTAAAGTAATTCCTTGATATCATCATATAGCCAGTCATTCTCAACCTTTTGCCACTTATCTTTTAAAAATTGGTTAGATGGGGCTGGGGATTTGGCTCAATGGTTCCACCACCTGCCTCACAAGCACAAGGTCCTGAGTTCAATTCCTGGTACCATACACACAAAAGAACTTGTTGGAGTAAGTATCATTTTTTAAAAGTTAATACAAAATAGCATTACTCATCAAAAAACTTTTGGAAAGCGTGAAAAAGCTCCTAGAATAAAAATTAGAATCATTCATGATTGTTTGGGCTGATACCAGCCGACATGATGCCATTGTACAAGTAGAAAAAAGATCTTTCCAGAAGGTACAGCCTGTGCCAAGATGCCAGCCACTGCCTGTCCCTGCCAGTGAATGCCCTTGAACATGCATGGTATGTTCACAGCTCAGAGTATTCCATCAGTATTTACATTCTGGAATATCGACATCTAGATTTTCTATGGATATATACATAATTTTGCATAACAGTTTTCATACTGTGCATTCTATTTTGTAAGCAGCTTTTCTTCACGCAAGAGCAGACCATAAACACTTTCCCACAGCATGATATTTGCTTCCAAAGTGTGGCTTTCCATAGTTCTATAGGGGTGCTGTATGCCTATCCCACAGCATTGCCCAACTATTTAGACCTATCAGCCTTGGAGTGCAAGGCCTGTCTTTGTAGATAATACACAGACAACAACACTGTGTCCTTCTTGGTAGGAGCATTAAAACATGTAGGGAAATTTTTGTGCATGCACTGAGTGATCACAAGGCTTCAAATTGTTTCCACCAGTTGGTTTGGAAAGAAAGCAAAGGTATGGTTCTATTTATCTCCACTCATGCTTTGGGGAGCAGCAAGAATTGTCCCTGGATATGTTTGGCTTCTCAGCTCTTCCACAGTAAACAGGCTGCAGTGAAGAGCTGTGAGGCGAGAAAAATGGGGACATTCTTATGAGGACAGGTACTCCCAAAATTATGCCATGAGGACATTTGGGGTTTGCGAAACTAACCACAGCTGATGTGTGGAACTGACAGACAGCAACAGACTTGGGGGTTCCCTTGGACTGGCATTTCTGGGTTATAGGGCCAGAGCACAGCCACTGCTGGATTCAAAAGCCACCCAAATACCTTAGAAGAAACATCATCACAGACTAAGGACTTTGGCTAATGGGTTCTGGGAAAATTGCCAGTTCACAATCTCCATCTCTTGAGAACTAGGATAAATATTGAGGTCAATTGCAAAGTGACCATTTGCCCAAACCCACAGCACACAGTCAACTGAAGGCCTGAGCCCATGTTTTCTATGCCAGCTCTTAACATCTTTATTAAGTCCATAATACTAAATGATTCAATTTAATGGAGTCTTTGGGAGAGTGTGAGGTCACAGGGCAGATGTAAATCAAGAATTCCTAACCCCAGAGGCCACTTTGAAGGATCACAGAATTTCAGTGCCTTGAAACTCCTCCAATGGGGAGGCCCATTACATGCAGATCGTCAGAATTGCACTGGGTGCCTAAGGAAGCATTTAAGAGGAAATCATTCTAGTTTTACATCAGTCCACAAAATAAAGTATAAAATTTGTTAAGGAACCCATATTATTGGGTTTTGACTGGTGCTTTCCTCAGGGTAAGAAAGGCATAGAACATCAGGTCATTTTCAAAGGTGACTTGCACAGTGATCATGACCTGGTGGGTGCGTTTGAATACTAACCTACAACAAATCATTTCTGCTAGCTTTTAAGGAACTGTATTCTTGTCTAAAATTTCATCCAGTTTTTATATCAGAAAGGATGGTATATTAGTTTCTTATGATTGTTGTAAGAAAATACCATAGAGTGGATGCCATGAGACAACAGAGGATTTTTCTCTCTCGAGGTTTTGGAGGTTAGAAGTCTGAAATTAGGGTCTTGGTAGGGCCATGCTCCCTCCTGAGAATCTAGGGGAGGACACTTTCTTGTCCCTTACAGTTTGTGGTGGCTTCATCCAAATATGTTCCTTGGCTTGTGGCTGCCTCCATCTTCACACTGCTGTCTTCCCTCTGTGTGTGCCGGATCTCTCTCATGATGAGAACACCTGTCGTGATGGAGTAGAGCCTCTACTCCATCTCAGTTTGATTACATCAGAAAGATCCTGTAGTCACCTAAGGTCATATTCACAAGTCCTGGGGATGGGACTCCCACGTATCTCTTGGAGGGACACACAGTGATTGGAAAGTCAAAGGTCTGGAATTACAGATCCAACTGTATCTCTGATATCTGTGATTCTGAGCCAATTGCTTATCATCCCTGGACCCCATGCTCCCTCATCTGTACCCACAGATACCCTCATGACCTGCAGATTCAATGTTGCTTGAACAACAGACTGGCTTCTTTCATATCAAAGGGAACAGACCCTCAGTGAAAAGGTTCTACCAGGATGGGAGCAGTGTGGCAACTCAGAAACAACGCCAGGACCAGGGTGGATGGGTCTCTATGTGTGTGTTCCATCCTGGCGGAGCCGGTGTGGAGTGTAGAAAGAAGGGTCCTACACTCCAGGGCCCCTCCAGCGCCTTCCTGGCAAGTCCTTCTGCGGTGCCAGCAATCAGGCCATAGGCTAAAGTGCAATCAGCAAATAGCCAGGTTCCACTCCCCAGGCCTGACAGACTGCCAAGCCCTAGGACACAGCTCAGGACAATCAGTCCCAAGGCCCGTGAGCACAGCGAATGGCTTTGGCTTCCAAAGCTCATCATGGAACTAGAACCAGCATATGAGACCCAGTTGGCTTTGGACAACTAGTGTAATCAGCCCAGACTAAATATGCCTTGCCTGGCCCAGCTTCAATATTTGGACAGGCACAGTGCACGTGTGCAAAGGCCGTAAGTGGGTGAGAGGGATTTAGCTCTGGGTGAGACTGAAGGGACTTGACATGTTATTGAATGAGGGCTGCAGAAGGGGAAGCCAGGGCCGCTACGCATTCCAGGAATGCGGATGGAGCACTCTCACTGTGTATCTGAGGCTGACAGGGTCTGACAGACCCCATCTGGGAACAATAATCGCGAGCTGCAGGCCAGGCGTGCAGAGGCTTCTTTGCCTCCCAGCAGCCTCTTGCTTCCTTTGCTTTGCTGTGCACCGAGTGGGCTGTGGGATGGGGCAGTGGAGAGGGCAGTGCGCATCCTGCCTCCCCCTGCAGAGTCCCGTGGTCCTGAGGAAGCAGGGCTAGGCCAGCCTCCCGAATGCCTGCCATTCCAGGAGCAGCGGGGCTGAAGACAGAGCCCGTTTTCCCCCTGGGAGAGCTGAGTGGAATGCTGTGGCAGGGCAATTTGGGATGCCAACTGATCACCCAGCCAGCTGCAGGGTCTCCTAGCATGGGGTGGCAGGGAGGCCAGGGCTGGCAATGTGTTGATGTCACGTTTAATACCCCGGGCTCTCTTTGTGTGCACGGGGGAGGAGCCTCTCATCTGTGAAGTTCAAAGCATCATTCACAAACTACCTCTGCTAATCCTCAGTCTGATCTGAATTCTGTCGTGTAACTAAACTGATTACAAGAATTTAGTGAATCAGGCTAGGCTAGGCCCCTCCAACAACCTTTCACATGCTTTGCTGCCACATAGGGTGCCAGGCAGGGGTTGAGGGGTCATTCGTGGTACAGAGAGTTCAGGAGCAGGAAGAAACCTGAGACCACATTACACAGTGTGGCATCATCCTGTTTTATAAGTGTGATACTGAGGCAGCAAATGTGCAAAGACATACCTGTGTCCCTTTTCTGAGTCCCACAGTGGCACCTCTGACTGCCTCCTCGTCATCTCCACAGGCCCTTCAAACACCTCTGCCCAGACCAACCCCGGCATCCCTGACCTTCCTTCCTCCTGCAGATTGCCGGCCCCTCCCAGGCACTCAAAGGCTCTCTGATCTGTCTCTTCTGGCCTTGCCTCTTTCCATGGGAACCTGGCCACCAGAGCCCATGCCAGCCCAGCCATGTTCATGTCCCAGCACCCCAGCACCCCCTGCCCGGTAGCTCTGAGCTTTTGTGGGGCCCACACAAGCCTGAGTTGATCAGTCCTCTGGGGCTGGCTCCTCATGGCTCTGGCTTTGGGCTACTGGCCTCCCTCAGTTCCGAAGACCCAGGTTCTGGCTTATCACCCTGTGCTGTCCAGCTCCGTGACATGCCATCATCCAGAGTTTCAAAGCCAGGAACCCGATATTGTGCTTGCATCCCTCCTGCCATCCCAAACAGATCCTCCTCATTGACCATTCACCAATTTCCTACATTCCACTCCCAGAAAAGCTCTTGTGTTTAACCCCTTCTCTCCAACCAAACCACCCCTGCTTGTCTCCTGTCTGCCTGGACAAAGCAACAGCCTCCTCTCTGCCTCTTTGCCTCCACACCTGCCACTCTGGCATCCATGTTTGCCTTGGGACCAGAATGATCTTCCCTCCTCTGATCTTGGGATTTCTCAGTTTTTCATAACCTGGACAGCCCCTACTTGACCTTCAAATCCCAACTTGGAGGTCAGGGGCCTGCTGGTGAGCTGCTGGTGAGCCTGTTGTCTGGCCTTTCAGCGCTGTATCATTGTGAAAATGAATTTCCCAGACTGAGAGCACCATGAGTTAAGACATTGCATGGGCTGGTCTGGGACCACTGCACCCAGCACAACGTCTCGGACTGACTGGGTGTTTAACAAATATTTATTGAATGAATAAAGAATCCAGAGAGACTGTGTCATTGCTCAGACTAGTATCTAACTCTTCTAGTCAGAGCCAGATGTGAGCAGACTGGCCCGGTAACTTCTTGGGCCACCAATTTTTTAAAAAGGCTTAGACATTGCTACAAAGCTAAAGACCCTTGGAAACATACCAACATGGTACTAATTCCTTTCGTCAGAATTCCCCGGTAGGTGAGTATGGTGAGGGAGAAGCCTTCCCCTACGTGTGGAATATTTGAGTCCTATGAGGCAGTAAATATGCTGCTTTAGTCAAGCTTGGGCAGAGCAGAACTGTGCAGGAGGCTGCAGTGGGTGAGGGCTGTGCTGCTCCCCATCCTCCCCACTCCTCCCTGTCATCCTCGCTGTCTCCATATATAGCACAGTCTTCTCTGCAGCCAGGTATGGCTGTGTCTGGGCTCTTGCCACGGAAATGTGGAACTTCTGAGAAGGCTGTATAAAGGGTCAAGCATGTAAACCCTTTTTGTCCTCCCTTAGTTCCCCGTCACGTGCCCTGGAATGTGAATGCCATGGCTGCAGCTCATGGGTCATAAGGCAACCGCAAAGGATGACAACAATGAGCAAGGGTGGTGGACTAGAGGGCTGAAAGGGTCTTGGGTCCCTGAGGAGCTTAAGGCAGCACTATAACCCCCTAGACTCTGTGTGTGTGTGTGTGTGTGTGTGTGTGTGCGTGTGTGTGTGTGTGTGTGTAAGAGAGGAATAAAACCTCTTATTCAAGGTCCCATGGCTAGGTGTCTTATACAAGCAACTAAATATAATTTCTTACTGAGTCAGGGGCCAAATGTTTTGCTTAACCTGAGGTTCTACCTGCTTCTGTTGGGTCTGCTCCTGGCCCCCAGCCTGGAACTCTCCTTCCTTCTTCCCACGCTGGCATAGTTCCAGCACATTGAGCTGCCTGTGAGCTCCTCCTGTTCTGCCAAAGCAATAGCCACTGGGAGAATCCAAATATAAGAGAGGCTCCGTGGATGTTGTAAACAGAGACTTTCTTAGATGTTTGGGCCCCGTTGTTTGTCGTGGAATTTGTTTCCAGGAATAAATTGATGAAATGTGATAGTTCTGGAAACTGTAGACAGGGACTCCAGCGGTCTAGAGTGTTTTGAGCACTTTGCATAGCTCTGCCAGCCAGCCAGGATGCAAGGAAGAGTGGAGGAGACCTCTTCCTTCCTGTGTGAGGAGGATACAGCAGCAAGAAGGGCAAAGGGCGACTTTGCCCATGGCAACATTACACTTCTGGTGCCAGAGTCCTATTCTCCTTTGTGTTACCATCATCAATGTCTGAGGTCCCTTAATGTAGACTCCTGCCCCATCGTAGAGCTGGGAATGGGGTGCTTATCACCAACTGTGGCGGGCATGACAGCACTGTAGACCACCAGGCTTTGAGGGTGGGCTGACTTGCATGAGATCACCAAGGTGGTTGGCACTGGGCCCACTCAGTAATAATTCATAACAACAACTAGCAACTCTGAACTGTGTTACAACCATGTCACAAAATGTAACTTACTTTGTGACATATATTCTCTGTGCTTTACAGATCTCGCCTCCTTTAGTTCCAGAATAACCTCATGGGGCAGTTTGAGCTCTACTTCACAGGTGAGGAGACAGAAGCACATGTGGGCAGATGTTTGTGGCAGTGAATGTGGGCACAGCCCCTCAGCCTGGTAATCTTTTTACTGCAGCCCAAGTGTGTTAGGAATAGTTTGCAAGCCCAAGTCCCTTCGGAAAGGGCACTACTTTTCTTTAGTGACTTCCTAGAAGGTGTGCTGCCTCCTGCCTGTGACCAGAACAGGCCCCAGTGACAGGCTGCAGTCAGATGTATGGGGAACAGGGCCCTAGAAGCAGAAACAGCTTCACTTCCTTCCTTTTCTCTCTCTGTTTACTTTCCAGCCAGAGAGGGCTTGATGGGCAACTCAGCAAATGACATGCCCATGGGGTGATAGGAAGAGATGGCCTGATTATTTAAGCACGGGGACAGCTGAACCTGTAAACCACACGTACACTGATAAAAAGCTGGTCCTTACTTTTATAAATAGTATTTCTTGTTTGAAATGCAGAAGGTGGGTGCAAAGAAAGCTTAATGACCGTAGCTTTGGGGACTGTGGGTACTCACTTACTTATTGACCATTTCCAGCTGCCCACTCTGCCTTCTCTTCCTTAAAAAATGCTGTGGGTGTTTTGTTTGTTTGCTTCAGGACTAGAGATTGAACCCAGCCTTACAAATGCTAAGCCAACAATCTACGATTGAGCTACATACATCTCCAGCCGCCTCCTTTCAACCTTTTTAAAAAAATTGAGACAAAGTCTCCCTAAATTACTCTGGCTGGCCTTGAACTTTTAATCCTCCTGCCTTAGCCTCTGGTTAGCTGGGACTACACGCATGTGCCACTATGTTAAAAAAAAAAAAAGTTTTTTTTTTTTTTTAACATAGTTAACTATGTTAAAAAAAAAAAAAGTTTTTTTTTTTTTTTAACATAGTTAACTATGTTAAAAAAAAAAAAAGTTTTGTTTTGTTTTTGGTACCAGAGATTGAACTCAGGATGTCATGCTTGCCAGGCAGAAGCGGTGCTACTGAGCTAAATCCCCGCCCCACCCCATTATTTTTTTTCTGATGCAAGTATTGTTTGAATCTCAGTATCTCTGTATTTATGACTTTGAAATACAATCCAATATGGGAGTGTTGGGGGCTCCTGGAGACCATGACACTGCCTGTGCTACTACCCCAGCCAGTTGCTCTGGGAACGTGAGCGTGGACTTGGCTGATGGTGTGGCCCAGCTGTGTCACGCTGGAAGGCATCGTTGGATCCCTTCTCTCTCTTTCTTTTTAAAATCTCTACTCACTGCTTGTGTGACCTTGTGTCTTCCAGTGCCGTCTTTTTACTTATGGCTCCATGTTATGCCCAAGTTCACCGTGTCCCTTCTACTTGGATGTCCAAAGGGCATCACAAACACAGTATGTCCCAAGTGGAATTTCTTCTTTTTATTGTAGTTTTAACATCTGTTAGTTTTTTTTATAAGTCTGTGTTTGCACTACACAGTAGTGATATTGATTCTGGGGCAAAGTGGAACTTCTAATCATCTCCTTGAGAGCACCTCACCCCTGGTTTCCGTATTTCAGTTCAGGTAACTGTCTGTCTCTATCTCATGCCCCAAGCCACGGAACCATTCTTGACTTCCTTCTGTCATATTCAACATTCACACTCTTGCAAAATCCTATGGGCTCAACTTCCACCATATTTTCAGAAGTTTACAGTATTTCTTCATCTTCATCGCTACTACCCTGTTCTGGGTCACTGCCTTTTTTCTTTTGGGTCATTGTAATAACCTCATAAACAGTCTCACTGCTCTACTTGCAAGATGGCAGCCTCCTAAATAAAAGTGAGGTCATATTGGGCATGGTGCTGCATGACTTTACTCCCAGCGCTCTGGGAGGCTGAGGCAGGAGGATTGCCATTTGAACTCAGCCTGGGCAACTTCAAACTCTGGGCCCAATCCCCAGTACTGAAAAAAAAAGTGAAATCATGTCAATCCTCTGCTTAGAACTTTCCAGTGGTGTATTGATCAGGGATCACTAGAAGAACAGAAGCTATATATATATTAGATTGGTTTACAGATCAGAGGTTGGATAATCCCTCAATGGCTGGAGAACCAGGGAAACAGTACCTGCTCAATCGTAGAAGCTGGCAGTGTGAGAACAAGAGAGACCAATGGTGCAGCCCCAGTTTGAGGCTGACAGCCTGGGACCTACCTGGAGAGTTGCTGGTGGTGTGAGTCTGAGTTTGGAGGCTGGAGAATCTGCAGTCGAATGACAGGGGTGGGGGTGATGCAACAGCGAAAAACAGCCTTCAAGGAGGCGAGCTCCCTCCTCCTGCTTTCCATTCCACGCCGACCCCAGCCTATTGGACGGTGCCGCCCACATTCTGCTCAAGGACCCCTGTGCCAATCTTCTCTGGGAACACCCTCAAAGACTCACCCAGAAATGTGACCTACAATTTTCTAGGCATCTCTCAGTCCAGGCGGGTGACAACCAAGAGAAATCATCACAAAAATGGCTTCTTAACTCTCAGAAGGACGCTGCAGTCCAGGGTACAGGTGCCTGCATGATTTGCTTCCCTCCCTTCCCACTGCACTGCCCAATGACTTCGTTTTTTACTCTCTCCCCACTGCCCTTTCCTTCCTTCCTTCCTTCCTTTTTTCTTTTCTTTCCTGTTTTTATGCATGTCAGATCCATACAATGGGGAGCTTTCCTTTGCAGTTGCTGTTTTTCCTTCCTGACACTTCCTCATTTTCCCCATCCTGCCCTCTACATGAAAGCATTTTGTACATTCCACAATTATTTCTCAGAAGCCGCCTCCTCCTCCTCCTCCTCCGTGTTGTCTCCCTGACCATTCCCTAAAGTTTTGCTTTCACCAGGACTCTGTCCTCATTCCTCCTGACGGGCACACGGATGCTGCCCATGCCAGGCTCCTTAAGGGTCAGTGCGTGCATTCCAGTGGATCTTAGATGGCCTGCTATCCTGGAGAATTGCCCCTCAGGAGCAGGGAGGTCACATTCCCTTCCTCACCCACCCAGGGCAGCCACAGCCAATGTCTGGAAGATGAGGACACAAAGCTGGTTCCCTTGCTTCGAGGTGGGAGAATTTGAGTATTTTGGTCATCTGTGGATCAGACCTAAGACCACATGTTGCTGGACTTTCCCCCACTTACTGCTTGCTTCCTTTGCTCTCTGAAGGAATGAAGAGCTTTCCTGAACAATGAAACGAAACAAAACAACCAAAATCACTTTCACTGAATCATTGTCTTAGACTGTTTCTCACACACCAAACCTAAAACTTTTCTGTTCTTTTTTTCTTAGTGCTCTCCTAATGTACTACATAGTTACTTAACTTTGCCCATCTCAATCACTAGATTGTCAAGCACTGTGTTTCATTCACCACTGCATCCTCAGTTCTTGAAACAATGCCCAGCACATAGTAGGAGTTCGGTAAATAGGTGTTTCAAGATGACTAAGTCCTCAGATATCTATGAGTCCGGGGACTTAACAGCTCCTGATCTTGTTAATCAGACTGGGATCTTAGGCTCCTAACACCATTGCCCACAGACCCTTCCCCTTGCACCCACTTCCTCCAGCCTGTCGAGGGGCTTCTGATCCCAGGGGCCTACTCATCCGTATCTGGGGTGATTTCCCAGTAACCCACATCACATTCTTGTTTGTCCAAAAGCACCTGTCAGCTCTTTTCGGACAGTTTGCCTCTCACAGTCTGCCGGTCAAGTCTCAGTGAAAGAAGGCAGGCAAGAGGTAGCAATTCACCTGTACCCGGATGTGACCTGAGCACTAGACAGATGAGGAAGAGTAACCGGGAAAAGGCACCGGGTGAGACCGTCCTTCCGGCAAGGATGGGAACGGCCATGGGCACGCAGAGAGCTTTCTTTTCTCTGGGTGTCACCCTGCTGAAGCAAGCAAGCTGGGAGCCATTACCTGAATACTCAGGTTCACTTTGTGTACAGTGTCAAGGGGCATCTTTAAGCTGTACTGCCCCTCCTGTAGTGATTGAAGCTGGAAATGGGGACTCAGACAAGCCAGGTGGGGGCCATACCTCAGAGCTTCTGCACTGTTGACTAGACAGTGACCTAGTTAGTTACCTCTTTGGGCTTTGTTTCCGGCTGGTCAATGTACTATGGTTTCGACAACAGCTGTCTCCTAACACTGCTTTTTCTATTCCAGCACCTCACTTTGTGTCCTGACAGCTTGAGAGATGTTCACTTATTTAAACCTTCAAACATACCATCAAGTATCATTACAAGCGAGAAACCCCCAACCTGTTAGATGCGCTGAGTTCGTGTTTCAGGATCCTGAAGAATGGACTCAAGGACAAAGGAGGTGAACAGTAGGAAGAGTTTTATCAAGGGAAAGTTTGTGAGAGACAGGAGGGATTGCCACTTAGCTCTTTGTCTAGGGGGCTTTTATTCAGCAAAATCACCATGCAAGATGCCTTGGGTGGAACTCTAATCAATTAGGATTACAAGTACAGTCACTTAGTTAATATTGACCCAATAGAAAAACAAGGTACACAGAGAACAAAGGCATTGCTGCAAGGAGTAGGAGTGAGAATCAAACTGGTCTGGGCATTGCTCTACGTGTCTGCTACATTGTTCAGGCTTACTGGACCAGAGAATGCTGGTTACAGAACAACTTTGAGCTGTTGTTTATCTCTGGGGAGGCTTTCAGGCCTAGCCATTGTGGCTCCATCTTGGGGCCTAGGTTCTACCAGTTCAGCCCTTGACCACAAGCCTCATCTCCGCTGTAACTCTGTCTTGGCCACCTATCGCTGTCTGCAATCCTATAGTTATACACACTTCTACAGAGGAGGAAAGAGAGAGACAGAGGCCTTGAGCAACTTACCCAAGACTGCAGAACTGGTCAATCAGTGGTGGTGCTGGGATTGGAACCCTGTCTGCTCACTTTAGAATATGTACTTAACTGAGGCACAATGAAACCTATCAGAGGATACTACTGCTGAGTGGTCTCCCATCCTAGTACTAACCAGGCCTGACCTTGCTTAGCCTCCAGGATCAGATGA